AGACACCACTTCATGTTGCCTTGAATTGATTTCTTGCTAAAAACAGAAAGAGCAGGGGCTAAGAATGAGCAAAGCCTCGGAACAGTTATTTTTTTTTAGTGATGGTTAAAATAGGATAGGTCATGTTAGTAAAAGTCTAAGTCACTTTATTATTTCTTTTTATATATATATATATATATATATATATATTCTAAAACAAATAAAATTAAACTTATCTATAGTTTAATAAAAAAAGATAAATAGTGTATAGATTTTTTTAAAGTTTATTTTTATTAGAATTTTTTTTTTTATTAATGGTAAATAAAGTAATTTATTAAAGATTTTTAATAATAGAATAAAAACTTAACTAGCTTGATTGGATTCCATTTCAATAATGGGTATTATAAATGATTTGACACATAATTTTTGTTAATTTGTAAAAGGCCCGTATTCAATAAGAAAATTTTCTATAGTGCTAATCATGTTTTTAAAAAATTAATGTAATTATATTTTATAATTTTTTGGGATATAGATAAGTTTAAGTGCATTTACAACATGGCTACAACATACTCTACCTTACTCCATGGTCTGCCCAATAATACGGTATTCAGACTATGAAAGTGTTGTCTTCAATTCCCCCGTAATCATTGCCAATGCAGGGGATTTTCTCTGATCTTGTCAACAAATACAAATATAATCAAATAAAAATATAAAAAAATAAACACATAAACAAATAAACACATCCATTTGCGTCGCTGGTGTTTCTATCTTAGTGAAAAGTCACAGTTTCGACGCTGTTTCGAAGAAGAAGACAAGCTTTGCAAGCTCCAGTCGTCGTTGCAGGACGCCGCAGCGCTGGAGCACAACTCTAGCTCAAGTTGTAAGCTTTTATTTTTGGACGGTTTGTAGCTGGGCCAGGATGCTAATCCAGTCAACCATAATCACAGCGCAGCATGTCCATGGCCCCGCTCCGGCGGCTTCATTACCGGTCGTGTAGCTTTGGCGGCACGCCATGCGCTGGCTGACTCCGCGTGTGAGCAGGTTGCGTGCGGTTTGCCAGATTGCATTTGTGGGGTTCCGAAAATCAACCCAAATAGCAGCAACAAACGTTTATTCAGGTGGGATAGTAATGCAAGGTAAGGGTTTTGGATGCGCCAAAGAACTGAAGCCGGTTTTTGTCTCTGTGAAGCTAAAGACTCTTTGGTTTACACCGCAGTTGGCAATGGAATCAACACTGCAAAGTCAACCAGAATTAGTGACCCAGAGATTCACCAAATGGACACATAAATGAACAAACTAAACAAATTGTAAAAGGCAGCGTTGGTTTGTGGTTGTTTCTTCGCTAATAAAAAAAAGATATCACACAACTACCACATTAGAAGTCAGTCACCTCGTAGTTTGTACAAACGTACTCTCAAACGGATTTCAACATCTTAACTCTTCAAAGACTTTCATATTCAACATCGTCCACTCTTGCACACCTACTGAAAATTGTACTTCACGATGCAATTAACGTGTAATTTTTTCATAGAACGATACTGTTTATCGTGCGTTTTTCACGAAGTAAATCTCTAAGTAAATAGAGTAATTTCGGTCCAATCATGCAACTACCCGAAGGTATTCCCTACTAAACAAAGGCAAAGCTCATGGTTTCCTGCTCCTCCATCTCCCACTTCAGTATAAACAGCTCCAGGAATGGATTCGTTGGTCAATAATCTCGAGAATGGAAAAAGACGGACAGCAAAGACTGGTACAGTGTGGCACTACCTTTCAGAACTGGTAGTGTTATTTCATTCAACTCCAAAGTGAAGTGTGTGGATGCAAGTTTCACGATCTGTAAAAGAAAGAAAGCAACTGCAGGTCCCTAGATCAATGCAACGAAATGAAATCAATGGCCACACAACGGTCATCCCATCAAAAAAAATCCTGCGATCTGGAAACAGCCCTTGAATTAGAGAAGCTTGTCGTCCAATACCGGATCATTGTCCGCTTGAAAGGATGTTTCTCACTACATTGAGGAACACTCGTTAAACTATCACATTTCGAGCATGAACTCTATACCGAGGTAGCAATCGACAAAGTGACTGCGTAGTTTAAGAAAGCCTTAGGAGCGAAGGGCAGCATCGTCGCACATCTACAAAGAATAGGGGTTTATTACAACACAAACTGACGAACAGACCAATCTAGTGAGAGCAACAAACGGTTGGTCAGTAGGTTGACTCCCGCCGAGGATGTCCAGAGGCGTTCCCGTTACCATTGTCAAAAGCTGGAAAATGTGTTAGTTCTCAAATCCTACGGAATTATTTTCGTGCTAACAATCACGAAGAAACGACGGTGCTTATAGCACCAGTCTAAGAATCGTGTGCATAGATTACAGAGTTCAAGGATGCAGCGAAATAACCGGACCCATTAAGGCAATCTCCACAAAGCAGCAGTCTCAAACCCTACAGTAACTATTAAGATGCTGATAGGGCGAAATCAATGTTTTTGGAGCAGAGTGTAGACGAAATGTAGTGCTACAAACAGGAGCATACTTCCATAGCCAGGTGCTAGCATGCTTCCTGAGGCGGTTTGGGCTGCAGGTCCTGTCGCTACTGGGTTGGAAGGATTTGGAACACCGGGGGCCGTAGAAGGTACGGGTGGGGCCAATGCGTTCGGAGGTGGTGGCGGCCTGAAGAGCGTCGCAGGAGGAGGAGGTGCAATCCCTGGGGGTGGAGTGCCTGGCGTGGATGGAGCGGTTGGAGATGAAGTCGGCGGAGACGAAGTAGGTGGAGAGCTAGAGACAGGAGGAGGAGTAACGACGGGACTGGGAGGAGGTGACGCTGCAGGCGGAGGTCCACTATCGGTTGGAGGAGATGGAGTTGGCTCCTGCACTGGTGATGATGCGGGGTTGCCAGCCCGACTGAGATCGAAACAACCAATTGTGCAAAAGTACTCATTATAGGTCGGGTCGTAGTAATCACCGCTTTCGGGAACGAAATACGTGAATGCAGGAAGATCCGCAGCTAAGCTCAGAGCAGCCCATAGTTGCCTGCTACATAGACTCGTCACGTTGGGAAAATAATTCGCGTTTTCCCAACCATACCAAGTGCAGTCTGCTACTTTGTTCTCATACGTGGCCTCAGGTTTGCGGCCGTAGGTAGAGCTGGGCTTGTCCTTCATGCCTGAAGGACGCGGACGACCATCGAAATTGTCGAAAGCTATAGCGGATCCAGAGAGGAGAACCACAACTGCAAATACAGAAAGAACCAACCGGGTTGATGACGATGTGAACGCCATCCTGTACAACTACGCTCCTCCTGTTCCAATGAGAATGCAAACCCAAAACAGCGGTAGACAAATCTACCGTCGCTACTGCGTCGATTCAAAGACCTGTACTCCTGCGAAAGCAACCCTAAGCAAATCTCCAAATGCAAGTGTGGTGATTCTGAGACCTTCGTTCGGGAGTAACGGTGCAGCACCAATGCCGCCACAGCGGTCTCAAGGGCACCACTGGGTGTATGTAGAGCAGCGAAGGCTGCCGAGGAAGTGCCCAGACTGTCAGACGCGCATGTATGTAGGCGATATTTGAGTCTTACAGCTTGGCGGCCACATGAACACCACAAGGAAAGATCCCCATTGTGCGGAGTTGTTTGGCGGAAGGGTCCAATCCCATCAGAAGACTCCCGGCGTGTCAGGAAATTACTGTTGCCAGGGTGTGGTTCAAGATAACAGTCTCAGCAATCACTGCTCAGGAGGAGCGGCGTTGACATGCCACTGTACAGGTCGGTTTTGCGTAATTCACCAACCTACCTGGGTTTGTTCATTATTTCCTAATTCCAGGTGTTGACAGGAAATTATGTATAACCAGCCAAGTCCCACTGCTTTCCGTAGTTACCCAAATGCTTCGAATTGCGTTCAGGTATTACTACTTTAGACTAACGTAAAAGTTTATGGTCAAGTTTTTAAGTGGGTAATGGGAATTTTCCTATTTCAACTGGTTCTCCTCGCTCACTCCCGTGTTCTGCATTGCCTACTTGAGAGCTACTTTTCTTACGAGATTGGTCTTCATGGAACATCCAGTTTTACCCTACGCGGTGCAAATTCCCACACGGAAAAATGGTGGGAGAAAAGTGGGAGCATATTTCGCTTGAGTTTCTAAATATATGCTGTTCAGATGTTTCAAATTTATTCACTTCGCCGATACTGGAGGTCGATTTTGAAATCCAATTTGTTCGCGCTTCGTATCTTTGCAGAGACCGCACAAAAACGTCACGTTGGAAGCACCACAGCTTCGAAAGGCGTCCACATGTCCTCGCATTTAATGATGTTGCTGTACTCTCTGGGTGGTTCCAGTTTACAATGCCCTTGACTATGGTGTTTCAAAACCCCACTCTCCTGTGCATCTGACTCAGTACAGCGTGTTACTACTGCGAAGTTGCAGCAGTAGTCCTATGGACGAAATGCTGCGGCTAACCCTTCACCGTAGTTGTGTTTGGGTCGCTGGCCTTCACACACGTACCACCCTAAACTCTAGAATGTTGCTTTACCATCCCCTGCCAATTCCGGGGACTTCTCTCCTGGTGTTGCTCAGGTACGAATATCCGGTGGCTTAGGCGTCAATCTGCTTACTTACACCAATTCGAAATGATGCAATTATATCGGTAGGTGATTGATATTCTGCATCGGAAGCTCAACGCTGCGTGCTCTTGTGCGAAGCTAAGATATGTCTCGCTTTCTTCTCTTAGTTCATCGTCGATCGTCTCTTGCATTGTGATTCTGTTCAAGACGTGTCGAAGACATTCTCAATGTTGACGACGTCATCCTCTGAGTTTTACGTTCGCTTCCGACTCTGCCAGTTGGTGAGGTGTGTATTGACCTTGTAAGCAATCGTGGAATTATACACGACTCCCCATTTAACATTTGTACTTGTAACCAACACGAAAGTATCAAAATCAAAGGACCAATTGACACGCTGTTCCTGGTCCGAAACTCAAAGGTCGTCGTTAGTGTTCGAAAACCAGGAAATATACACGTACGCAACTTCAGCAACTTCATATTACATTATGGTGAAAGAACTGTACAATGTCACTCACCACCACCGAACTAGGTCACTGTCTTTCAGTAAGTAAAGGTCCCAGCCAAGTTCATAAAACTGATAATAACCTTTCAAACACATGATAAGTGCATGCGTGTACGCACTTAAAAATAGGATGCTTTCAATTCCATGTGAGAAATAGTGAAATATCCACTTAAACCAAATGAACCTAACAATCTGCACAATTATAAGACTCACAGTATCCTCTATTATTTGTACATCGATGAGCCACTTGGAGGAGGTGGAGGTGGCGGTGGCAGCCGTCCAGGTGCGCGACGGCTGCTGCCGACATCAACATTCTCATCGTAATCGTTGTAATTAGCATTGCGAGACAAGGCTCGCCCGTTAGTAGAAGGAGACGGAGCTCTAGATGATCGCGACGAGGAACTAGAGTAGCTGGACCGGGAAACAGAATCTGGAATAGCTGCCTGTTCAAAGGCTACACGCCAGTCCTCTGCTTCAAGCATACCACCTCCTGCTTTCGGATTCGCTGCAAATAAGAGAACATTGAAACAACGTGTCAACTGCAAATTCAAGCAACGAAAGGCATGTATCGACATCCAACATCATAACCTCGGAAAACAAGAGATACGAAATTAGAACTTACAAGAATCGTCAAAACTTGACACTGCAGCAGCAGCAGCAGCTGTACGCGCTTCCTGCATACTTAGCTGTCTGGTCAATTTGGATAATGCTTCCGCTTGCCTAACGCATCTTTCACGTCGAGCCTTCACCTCTTGGTCCTCTTGCAATAGCTCTTCGATTCTCCCCGTTCCATGCGAACTATCACACAAATACTAATGAATACAAACTGTCTGCAATACCTAGCGCTTAGAAGATAACAATCCAGCACATCGAAACAAGTTAAACACTGCTTTCCAAATTCATCTAATTTGTACCTGATAGAGCTATAAAGTTGGTTAAGCATGGCATCCTTTGCTCTCTCTACTTGACAAAGGACAACTGCCTGGAACATGAAAGAATTGAACCTGTTAGAGAGTATAACATCAAAGAAAAACACTTGATCACCAACAACCCTACATACAACTTGTAAAGCTTAGCCTGGGTACTGAGCATAGAACTATAAACTACATCAATATCATCAACAGCTGCTAGAGCACACATCTATGCTAACCAAACTTTTATCAGCATCTGCAAAAATAATGCCAAAACAGAAAACTTGAATTTAGAGGGCTTGAACATACTTTAAAAACTTGAACTTACCTTAGGAACATTTGCAGACAAACTGTTTAACACAGCCTCCACATAATCTCGAACCTCTTGAGCCATAAGCCGCAAATCCTCTTCTGGATCAATCGGTTTCCTCAAATTTGACGACAAATCCTGAAATCGACATATAAAAAGATATGATTTTAGTATCAACATCAACGAAATTTTCCAAAAGCACGACCACTTAGAAGAAAAATCGGCTTACTATACTTACTGTAGGCGCGTCGTATGTAGACCGTGTCGTAACGCTGTTGTCAGAATCTTTCGAGGATCTGACACGATCTTGGGAGGACCCTCCCTTGCCTTCAATACAAGCTCTTATTCTTGACATCCAGTCTAACTTCTCAGCCATGTTGTCAGCTCTCACTACGAGTGGATGGCTTGCTGTAAATGCGACAAATAGATGTTAGATCTCATGAATTAATAGTTTATAAATCTTCGAAGACAAAATCTGATGAACTAGTTGCGGTGACAACAAACGTGAAATAGAATATAAATAGTGAGGCAAGCGTAAACCAGATTCGTAGAAGCAAAGTGAATTTAAAAAAAAAAAAGAAAAAAACGAAATACAGCTGAATTAACTACAATTTCTCTTCGGCATCTCCTATCAAGTTAAATATGATAAAAAGGATCAAGACCTACATTAAAAACATGCATTATAACTGTGTCTAAAGCACGGAGTATGTTAACACATTTTCAGTACTTCAATGAGTCAGGTCCAACCAGTCAACATGAGTCAATTTGCCTCTACTCGTGTATACAGTTCCTTAATGTCAACCACAAATGAGTTAGTGCATACTAACTTTTGATCACACCATGTCATCCTTCAGAAACTCAATACTCCTAACGTAAAGCAATACCTTTTAAAATTGCCTTGTAAGCTTCTTTATGACTGACTGAGAAGATCAGTTTAGCTGTAGAATCTTCTTTCTCTGCTGCCCCATCAGACTTTTTACTCTTAGACGATTTAGGGTTCGAGTCCTCTGGTCCATTTTCCTTGTTCCCAGGACCATCCTCAAGGACACATTCTTCCAAATTTATCACGCCTCGAAAAGTCCTGTCTTCAGACTTTTTGGTATATGCGAGCTGCAAATAGGATGCCATAATTTAGCAATTTAATTGAATAAACCAAAGGAGTTCAAGAATACATGGCCATCACATCACACAGCTGCAGACCTAATAAGACACAATTAGAGTGAATTCAGTATAAAATCCTGAAATGTAGTCATATAGCACCTTGCATGTCTTTTCATTGAGAACAAACCAGCGCTTATTCCACTCATTATTATCACTTTGTTTCAACAGATAACCTGCCAGAAAAACCAAGCACACGTAAAAATCTATCTCAACTGATAAACTTTGAAATAATTAGTGATATATATACATCTACAACGGTACATAATGGTTATTCTTACTCACATGAGATAGAAAATCAATGCACACAGGCAAATTGAAAATTAATATAACGAAAAATACCTGCAACATTATCACCCACTATCTGTAATGTTGATGGGGCATCCGATACCTCTTTCTTAGCATCCTCAGATTTCATAGCTTTCAAATTTCCTCCAATATTTGTTGGGGCTGTTGCCTGCAAAGCCAATATACCAATTGAATACAAAATTTAGCATGAGTGGCAATCAGTTGAAAGAATTCATTAATAATTACAAAAATTATCAACACACAACATAGTCATCCTTCGCGTAATGACAGTACTGTGTGCTCGACAGCAGATTTCAGTCAAATAATACGTGTTATAATAAAATCAGCGAAGTTGACTAGCTAGAAACGAGCTTTTGGCTTGCTGGAAATTAATATCTCGGCAGATGTGAATATAAGCTAATGTCATGAAATGAAGAAGAATTGAAGAAGACGATTGTTGGAGGTGATCGACAGTTCTGTCCAATAATATTAATCCGCCTAACAAAGACATAGACATTGAAGAAACCAAATATTAATCACCACAAAAAGGGAGTAGAGATAAATAACGAAAATCCCAAATAATAACATTCCAAGCGCACCTTACTCAACAGTGACTGTTCAGCGTCCTGAGCCTTCTTTATCTGCAGCCCCTTTCCATCATCTTCTCTTCGTAATCTGTCCATCCTGTTTAAGTGTAACACTTTATCAGAAAAATAAACACCCGAACGACCTCGCTAAACATAAACCAGTAGCCGCAAATAGATCAGAGGAGGTTTCCTCTGCACTGATCCCCAACTACAAGACAAAATATCAAGCCAAGCTCTACCTGCGCTGAACAAGTCTGATAAAGTGTTGAGGGGGAATAAATGCACGCTCCATATCAACAAGCGCAACAACCATTTTCTTTGCTTCTGCTCTATACTCATCCAGCGCAGCAGTAGCAATGGCAACAATCTGCAGGATTATAACACCGAGTAACCATTGAATACTGTAAGCCCAAGCACATTGTGTGAAATTCAATGAAAAAGATGGGTAACTATAATTTTTGCAGTCACAGAATTTAGTGAACATTTGATAGTAGAAAGAGATAAATCTATAAGCACCTCTCTCTTCAGAGGGGAGTATCGTCCCAACCCTGCAGTCCCGTTTGCGGCACCAGAAACAATATCGACAAGAACACGGTGAACCTGAAAGTATGACTTTCCGAGTTAGTGAGGGGTCTATAAATGACGTTCCTTGTAGAGTCATCCTTTGTCAACCATTTAATTAGAATTGATCTGTGCAGTTCAAACCTCTATCATATCATAGAGGACACATTAGTGCAACCGACAATGGAGCAACAGCTGCATACAAGAAAAAAGTCATCAACCCCAAAATAAAAGGTAATAGCCGAGGAGATACCTCGTCCACGCAAGCCTTTGCTGGATCCTTCGCTAACTCTAACGCTTTCCTTACAAGTGCTCTCAAACCCTTTTCTGGTGATAAAAGGTACGGTTGATACCCATCTGCTTCGAGAACCAGCTGTATCAAATAACAGAGACGAAAAGTTTAGATCTGGCAGCCTTGGAGTGAAAAGAAAAAAGAAAAAAGAAAGTAAACAAAACAAAATAAAACAAAATATTGGTACATCTTAGAATCACCAGCAATATAAACCAGCTTGATTATATTGAAAACAAGGATAGAATCCATCTGAAATTTGATAAATAGATACCTTTTTGACGCTGCTGATTTCAAACATCTGGTCGATCGGTAGATTCTTGATTCTTTTAGGTAGAGCACCTTCAAAACTAGATACGACTTTCCAGCCTTGACCCTATAGAGACACCAAATATAACAAGTCGGAACTTGATAACAGACATGTACAACGGCAGTTAAAGACTTCACGCCTGACATACAATCGACTCATCAAAAGAGCTGACAACTTGATCAAAGATGCCCAAAAGTAATGTGACTTCCCCTCACTTAAGCATGATCAATTCGGAAGAAGCAATACAATTCTTCCCGAAGAAGTGTCAGGTCCAACGCGACCTAAACTTTCTTTTGAAGCGAAAATAGAATGACTGTTTCAAGGCAACTGAAGCAAAAAAAAAAAAACAAAAAAAACAAAAAAACAAAACAAAACAAAACAAAACAAAAAACTATTCAGAACAGTATCATACCTCCCCGGTATTTATATGTTGCAAAAACATGTCCTCAAACTCTCGACATAGCTCTAAAGCAATTGCACGCGTCCCTTCTGAAGTCTGTACCCTTTGCTCTCCTAATCTGACTAACTCTTGTTCAACTTGTTGCGACTTTCCCTCAAGCCTGCTCAAAGTATTCCAAACGGTAAAATTCAGGTAAAGCACTAGAACCCTTGGCTTCCGGTCAGAACACTATGGAACGAGAAATTGGTTAAAAATTCCACATCAGTAAACTTGAGCGAATTTCATTACATAAATCCCTTGATTTGATAAAGTAATATAACCTACAACATCAAAAACGTGCACATATCCTCCAGAAATTCCTAAATATTTACTTACATTTGCTGCCCCTCTATGCGGTGTTTACAACGCCCAATCCACGGGCTATTAGTTAAGATCATCAAAATAACTAACTCATACGTGCCTTCTTTATGCATGGAGGTTGATCAAACCTATAATCATTGAACACATCATTATGAGCTATTCTGGCACGCATCTACATCACCACCTTGCTAAATTCATCCCAGGTTTGGTTCAAGATGGTAGAACCAGAGTACCATACTAGCAACAATGTGTTACTGTTGTGACAGTAACATCTACGGGAAGATTCATTAGAAATGTTACAAGCATTCCTCACATGAGCTAAGGAAAAGAGTTACTGGAGAAAGGCTGATGATTAAGAACGCCTACAGCTACCAAAAATGTATTTGAATGGATCATTGTACCCTGATAATAAAGTAGGCAGTCGTTGCTTGAGTCGCTTTCGGATTTGATGAGACAAAGTTTCAACCAAGGCTATCCGTCCTAGCTTTGTGGATGGTGCTCCATTTAAGATCGACTTCAAAGATTCCATTTCAGCCTTCCAAGCTGTATCTAGACTGTGTTCACCATTGGAATGTGCAGCTGCTATTGACACAGACTGACCAATCAGGGCAACCCAAGGTATGTCCGCAGTAGATGGAGGACCTTGACCAGAAATAAGTGCATTTACAGCGGCTAAACTTCTCGGATCTGAAGCTGCTTGGTCAATTTTGCTTATCACGCCTACAGTTCTAGTTCCTGAAAAATGCCAAAGGGATTTGCTGAGAATTATTCTAGAACCCATAATAAAGAGGGAAGGATTTTCTTGATCATAACAAATAACTCACAACTAGGCGGAGAGGAATGACTACATAAATAAATAATCCAATTAGAGTTGTTTTGCATTCACAAAATTGAAGAGTAATAGCCACCGACCATCTGAGTCTAGTTCATGAGCCAACTTCAAAGCTTTGGAAGTAGCGACTTCGCGACATGACGTGGCTGGTATCACAACAAGTAATATGGTTTCATTATTTGCAGCAAGGTCATGAGCCTGCACAGGAGGAAACATTTCAAATTAGGTTATCAATAATGAGAAAATGGATTGTGAATGCAATTCAAACAAGATACGCATTACACAATCCACATCCAGAGCAAGGTATCACCAGAATCCTGCAAGAAAATATTGTTCTCAGGCAACTACAAACGTGGCTACATAAAAATTACAACTTGCCAGAAATAAGTTCAGCTGTACAGTTCCATATCTACAAAAATGCGAATAATAACCCATTAACTTACAGGCAATGACGGCGACATCACTTACCGGAGAATCGTCAGTTGATGACCGTGAATCAAGCCCAGGAAGGTCAATTAGCTTCAGTGGTAAAGCTACACAAAACAATACAGGTAACATCATTACAAAAAATAAAAATAAAATCACAAGTTCCTAACAAGGATAACAAACTTAGAGACCTAACACCTAACACAACATGCTTCCACAAAACTCTGACCTAGTTTATCGAAATTACAACATTCGTAGCATTTCAAAGTCAGTAAATAGCTGTTTATAGACTAAAATGAAATTGTTAATACAACCTAAGTGGTTATATTAGATCACAGATAGAAACGAGTTGGTAAGCAAAAAAAGTGGTATGAATACTTACTTGAGGCAGAGCGAAGAGTCAAACGAATTCCTTCAGTCCTCCCCTTCAAGGCACTTGCATTTTTCAACCTACCTTGCAAGGAATGACGTACATCGCCTGTATAAAATCATCGAATATAGAAAAAAAGGTCAGGCAGATGAACACCAAGTCCAGCTACGTTGTGGTATTCACCGAGGCATACCCATGATGTCACGAAAGGAATAGCAAGGCTCTCCAAATAAACTACCCACTTGCTGAGACGTTTTGGGTTCTTCCATCCAATATAACCGCCAAACCTCCGCTGCTACCAGATTTGTCGCGTTCCATATCAAGGATAATGGGGGCTCGTGTAGCTCCATTTTCTCCTGTTGGCTGTAGAACACAACGGCACGAGATTGCGATTCAAAAACTACACTTCACCTTGGCAGGTTAGTGTTAAATGCAGGAATAATACTGTGAGATACATCGAAGCAATAATTAAGATAAAAAAAAAATTGTTCATACATGGTGGCCTAGCTGCTTATATGTCTTCCTAAACTATAATAACATAGTCAGAACCAGATATACATGCATGAGTTATAATCGCCCGGAAGACAGAAGACAGACACAAAACACAACAAACTAGAAATTAATCCTCTTACCAAGACTGGGTGACCAACGAGGCTGTTCAACACTGCAGACTTCCCTGAACTCTGGAATTTGATAACCAACAACACGAGGAATAAGAGAACATATACAGAAATTCATACATGCAGATCTAAATAGGTTTCTTTACAGTATGCATAACATGGGAAGCAGTGACAAACTACAAGGCCAATTAATCATTATCATACACCACATTTTACGGTAATCTCCTGCATTGTTGTACCATAACACTAGCCTAGCAAAAAAAGTCTACACACACACACACACACATATATATATATATATATATATATATATAGATGTAATCTCCCGATGATTAAATATGATCCGATAAAAGACGCTTAATCACATTAGAATTTCACCAACTCTTACGATCCGAATAATTCATCGAACCATGGCTGACACTACTTAAAGTGTGGTCATACATAAAAGAACCATATCACAAACCTTCATCATATGCAATTCAAAATCTGATCACTGCTACAACTGCTAGGTATACAACAGCTACTAGGCACACAACAGCTACTAGTGTCATTAGTTTGCCAATTAAACCTGACGAGAATGATTAACAAAACCTCAATGTAGATAATCCTACTCCTAAGCTCTCTGCATGTTTCACACAAGGGGCATTTATCCTCAAAATCGAATCTAAAATAAAATAAATTAAAATAAAAACACAATTAAGAGCCATGAAGCCGAGCATTGTGAATTTCATCATAATCACAGCGATCCTTCCGGACCAAGACATCTACAAACAGATTTGAGTGCAACCACGACTACGACAACAAAAGAAATAAATAAATAAATAAATAAAATAATGATGATGATGATAATAATAATAATAATAATAATAAAACGAACAAATGAGTAAATGCACCGGAGGAACCATTTTCTTGACCAATTCGTAGGCTTACAAGGTGTGCAGAGATAACGAAACTAAAAGAACTCCCTGACGAGCCACAACTACAATTGCAAGAAGCTTGCAGGATTCTACAACTAGCCGAAAAGACTGCATGATATCAATGAAGCTCTCATCGGATATTTCATCAAAAAAAATTAAAATTAAAATTAAAATTAAAAATCCCAAAGGACTAATGATCTTCTACTCATGCAATTGTACCAAATAGCTTAACTTAACCTAACTCAAGTGAAACTCATTTCCATACTTGCTGAACGAATTTTCATATCAGGAGGCGTGACGGACGGGTTCATGGAAATCGTACCATATTTCCAAGAGTAACAACGCTAAGGAACGAGGTAGACATTTCGGGCGCATCGCCATCCTCATCCGCCAAAAGAGCAGACGCCTGTCGCATTGATTCTGCAAGCAGAACCAAACTATCGATTGCCACTGAAATACGTTCCATGGCAGCTCTACTGTCTCCCATGATTACTAGCTCCCTGACTCAGCCAAACCCCTACCCGTAATCAAAACAAATCCTTTCAATTACGAGCCCTCACTCTTCACCACGACTTCGCTCCTCCCGCGCCACTCCTCCCCGCCTTTCTTTTCCCACCAAGAAACCACGAATTACCCGCCCTGAAAAATAAGGCAACTCTCAGAAAACCTGGCCCCTCGCTGCCCCAAGATAAGGATCATGGAATTAACGGAACCACCACTCCAGCACCCGTCGCAACGCACCTCACCACACCTCGGCTATTCCGATGAACAATCGAACGACTGTCATCGCCCAGGAAAAACTTCCGAAACAGCGCAGACACTCCCCTGAAACCGAAGGCCGGTGCATGAAAGAATAAAACCAGGACGGCAGCGACCCTGACAGACAGGTGGAGGTTGGTCGCCAACAAAAAGCGGTAGTCGTCGAAAACTGGTGCCTCCCCTTTGCGACGACTAGGCCGACAGACAGGCAATTAAACGACACTGCTGACCGCAAGCAGCAAGCAATTCCTCCCCGCAAGCGAGGCAAGCCCACGAAGGGCGATGCAACGGCAACAGCAAGGAAACGGGGCGAGGAAATATGCGCGGAGCGACCAGGCCTGGTGAGGGGAGGAATTGGAAGAGGACGCGGGGATGGGGGTGGGGGGCGGTGACGGTGACGGTGACGGAGTCTTTCCTCCGCTGCCAGTGAGGGATGGCGCTTTCGGGGATCCCTCCCTCGCCAGCAGCACCACTCTGTCTGTCTGTCTGAGTGTGTGCGTGTGTGTGTGTGTGTGTGAATGTATGCGTGCGTGTGTGTGAATGTGTGAGAGACAAAGAATGTATGAGTGAGAGTGTGGGGATTTGGCGACGCGGCATTACACTCTCTCGCCGTCGTCTCCAGTCTCCTCGTCGCCCCGCCTTGTTGATCCCGTTCCCCGCGCTTGCGCTCTCGCTTCCACATGTCGCAGCTGATTCACTAGAACGCTAGGAGAACATCACTGGGAACAGATTGGGATCGAAATTCTGATTAAATGCATCTGGAGACAAATAAATTTTGGTCTAACTACAGGATGTTTAGTACAATCTGCTCTATGATAAGTTTTTTCCAAAAAAGGAAAAAAATTGATAAAAATTTAGACACATGCATATATGAATTTGATTCATGAGGTTAAAATGTCTATCATAAGATTGCTAAATGATTTAAAATTTTGATAAAAAAAATTAATATATTATCATTAATAATATCCTTATTAACATTCATAATGCTAAATTTAACATACACACTGTACTAATTAGTATCATACCTCATTATGATGTATGGTTAATTTTATTCATTTAAAATTCATTTTTGCAGCAATTTTTTAAACTTAATGATATATTTTAAAATCTTAAGAACTTCTATTAAACTTGAAATATTTTAATTAATTAAAATAAATCCATATACATATAATTCTAATGATTTATTTATGCATATATTTATACCAAAAAATATTATTAAAATTGAAGTTTTATTTTAAAATTTGTGATAATAACTGATAAATTTGTTAATATTGGTTTCAATGTACTTTTGTGTTTTAGAATTTATAAACAAAATATTAAATCTTAATGTATATTAATTCTTATTAGTTCTATAAATGCCATTAGGTTTATTTGTAAAATTTATAAAATTCCTAAGTATTTTCAAACACTTCTTAGCCATGTCCAATATATATATATATATAACTTATATTTCTTTAGGAATTATCTAGGATTTGTTTATAAATTCTTTAGGATTTCTTTAAGCTTTCTTTAAGATTGATTAGGATCCCTTTTAAGTTTCTTTAGATTTACTACAATTTCTTTAGAATTTCAATATGATTTGATTGGATTGATCATGATTTCTTTAGTATTTAATTAAGTTTATTAATAATTATTTGAAATTTATTTGGAATTAATTAGAATATAATAAAATATATCCAAGACTTTTCTAAGATTGATAGGGTGTATTTAGGAAGATTAGAAGCTTGCTAAAGTTGTTTAAGATTGCCAAAAGTCACTTCTAAATATCTTGTGAATTAATTTAGGTTATAAATCCAACTTCAAGATAGAAGCAAATCCTTCTTTATCCACATGCCCAATGCAATTCCATGTTGATTTCAAATAATATGACAATGTAAGAGCAATCCTACATAGCTTTAGAAAAGGCTATTAAAAAAACTCATATTGTGAAGTTTTAGTCAAATGCAGCAAACCACATTATTAATGTTTCTTGGACATACATATCAACATTAATAACTACTAAATAAGAAGAGTTGTGTAGAAGTAAATAAAAATGTGTATACTTGATAATATCTTTTGGATTAGCTTTTTATAAGCTTCATAGATATGAATTTGATTTATAAGTATTTTTAGGTGATTGTTAAGTTGAATAGTTGGCCAACAATTTGGCCATATATCACACATGTTGGTAAGTTGTGGTACAAGTTGGCCATGTAGCATACGTATTGGAAATTTTCCTTGCAAGTTAGATATGTGTCCTGCATATTGAATAAGTGTTGGATGACCTACATAGCCACAAAGTTTTTTAATTAGATAATTTATATAGAGATAAATGTGAGGCCTTTTTCACTCTTAATAACATCTTTTTTTATTTTTAGACTTATTTCAAGAATTTCTAATCTACTTATCTTTGGCAAGAGTCATTCTAGTTTTAATATTATAACTATCTTTGAATATATATATATATATATATATATATATATAATAACTTAAGAAAGTAATAACTCTCTAGTTGTTTTGAGATTTATGTCTTTGACATGTTTCAAAAAGTATTAGTTAATTATACTTGTTTTATTTTAGAAGTAAGTGGATTATCCTATTTTTTATTGTTATGTTGTAAAGGTTGTAAATTATCTCGCTTTAAATTAACATTTTTTATTTGTTAACATTGAATATTTAAAAAAAAATTAAAAACCTCTTCATATATTTTTTTATTTGATATTACAAATTATAGATTACCTTCTTTTAATTTAACTAATAAATTTATTTTAAAAAATCATTACAAAATATAAGGTGAACAAATTTTTGTTGATACACTTGATAGAAGTGAAAATAGATTTGTAACTATTATGGATCTTCATGAGCTTGTCAACACTCCTAGGACAAAAAATTTCATGTATTACCAATGTCAACCATAGAAGTATTATTCCTATGCTTTCAAAAGAAATCAACAATGTGGTTTAATATCTATAACAAGAAGTTCTACAATAAAAAGAAGGAAAAAGATTAATCTCACAAGTGAATTCAAATAGCCTTGCTATTATAAATATAAAAGAAACAAAGATTAATATGTTAGAGAAGTTTGATGGAATAAGATCAAATCTTAAAGAATTCTATAAAATATCTATTTAAGATTATATTAATTTCAATATTTAAACAAATTATTCAAGTTGGATTTATAAGCATTTTTTTTTTTATCTAGAAGTCAATTTTCTTAGTATTTATCTTTAATGAAAATGGTATCAAGGACATGAATCATAAACAATAAAAAATTTAATGCATTCTTATGACACTTGAAAAAATAGATATTTACTCAAAGTTAGAATAGTATTAAAAATTAGAATAATAAGTGTCCAAAATAAGAAAATTGGAGACTCTTGAAATAAGACTAAGAACAAAAAAGATCTTGACAAAAGTGAAGTAGACTTCACTCTTGTTTCTATATATATTATCTAACTATAAGTTATGTGGTGATGTTTTATAAGACTTCCAATACATGTTCAACTTGCAAGACATATGTACAACTTGTAAAGCAAGTCTCCTATTTATGCGCTACATAGCCAACTTGTACCATAAGTTACCAACATGTGCAACATGTAGCTAACTTGTTGGACTAGTTTTCAACTTATCAATTATCTACAACCAGATATAAAGTCAAATCCATATCTATAAAGATTCTAAGAAGCTTCTTTAAAAGATAATATCAAATTTATTTACTTAAAATTACTTCTATTTATTTTTCTATAATTTATTTAATTTAAATAAATATGTATGTTTGTGACATTATTTTTCTCCTTTTCTAAAAATAAATTCTACAAAGAATAGTAATTACATGTTGAAAAAGTTTAAGATGTAATAAATTATATTTATTACATACTATAATCTTTATTTCTTTTGAAGGAAGTTGATAGGTCCTCTTAGCTATCAATGGTGTCTTATACCAAGGCCAAACATCTACATTGATATTTGATCATTATTGAGGCTTTTTTAGCTTCTTTCAAATAAAATATTTCAAACAGTATTACAAGTGGTTCCTACCTCTAATAATATCACCAAATATCTAATCTAATTGATGCAATAAAAAGATATATTTTTTTAAATCGATAATATCTTTATAATTCAAAATCATTGCATTGATGTATAATAAAATATTACATAATGTAGATGATATCAATTAAATAATTTAAAATAGAAGCAATCTTGGTAGACATGCATAAAATTAAATTAAAAAATAAAAAATAATTAAAAGATATATATATATAAATTGAATGTAGATTATAATCTTTTATTAGAGTGATAAGATCCTAAATCTGTTTTTTTTATTTTTGTACCTATTAAATCAATTATAAATGTTGTTTCAATATTTAATATCATTTAAATATTTTTAAGTTTAGAATTTTGAATATATTAGATATGAACTTGATATAAATAAATTTTACATAATTTTTTAATATTAATGCATGAATCTTAATTATACAAGTACAAGTTGATAAGATTCAATCTATTTGTCAAGAGATTATTTTCTAGAATATATTTAAAAGATCTTAGATTATACCAATTTATAATAATAAATTTAGTAAAACCAAATAGTTATGAATATAATTTTTGGTTAAAAGGGCAAATGCATATATTGAGTATAATCCAAAGAAAAACTTACCTTATAAGAAGTTCTTGAATTGTTTTATGTATAAAGAGATAAAGAGATGGAAAATTGAAATTACTTTGTAAACTTGTTGCTAAAGAAAAATATAGTGTTATGGATATTAAAAAGAAATATCATTACAAGAACCATTGAGAATCTCTTACGTATTTTATTACTTTCAATAGATCTGTAAATACCTCAAAAAAAAATTAACACATTCTATGGGGCTTGAATATTATTCATTTACTTCAGTAATTTTAGATAAATTCTTACTACCTAGTTTACTTTCTAATCTAAAAAAGAAAATTTATAAACCTTATATTATTTTTAATTTCTTAGTAATGTAGATATTTTACGATACTGCTTTTAGTTCAGTTGAAATTAATTTTTTAGATAAATTGATAACAATCATAATATGTCTGAAGATAATAGGTTGAAAAAATAACTAAAATTTATGCAAGAAATCTCTTCTTAAATATTTTCCAATTGATATAAGAAGTTTATTTCAAAGAAAAATTTAATATTGAATCTAATAATTAGTATTTCAAAACAAAAATTGTACCAATAAACAAATTTCAGAAATTTTAAGTACAGGGATCAAAACCAACAAGGTATGTTTTTGTTCTTGATTTCGTGTTTTAAACATTAATTTGTTTTGCA